AGGTATAGAGAAATCTCCCTGGTTCTGTGAAATGGGAAGTAAAAATCTAAACAAGCAGATTACATCTGTATGGGAGAACTGAGAAACGGGGCCTGAAGCACTTCAGTTATTACTCCATTTTCTGTTCCCCCTCGGTTGTATTCCTGACAGCTCAGAACTGGAATAACAAGGTCAGTAGCACAGTGTCACCTGATCCCTCCACGGTGTTCCCACCACTACTTGGCCACCAGCTCCCCACCGCTTGTCACAAACCAAAGATACCTGAGAGAGCATTAACATACCTTTGGGGTCAAAAAAGACATCTGAGCCTAAAATAACGTCTAGAGGAGCAAGGGAGAGGAGCTCCGGCGACACCCGGCCCCAGGTGAGCCCGACGACGGGCACGTGTGCCAGGCGGTTCGTGAGGCAGGTGCGGCGGCAGCTCTGCAGGCAGCGGGGCAGCTCCTCGCTGTCCGACAGCGTCACCTGCGCGCCGCACCGGGCGGCCACCACGCCCGGCAGGCTCACCCCGGCTCCGATCTGCAACCACAGCACGTTCGTGGGGTCGGGCCCGCGGGCACCCGCGGGGGTGTCGGGGGTGCGGGCAGGGCCGTACCTCCAGAACTCGCCTGCCGAGCAGGCTCCGCCGGTGCGACCACACGTACTGCGCCAGGACCACGGCGCTGGGCCACGCGTACAGCCCGTACTGCGAGTCCGGCACCTGCAATACATGGGGGGGGCGCTGGGCCGGTGTGCCGGGGATCCCTGGTGCCCGGGTATCCCCGATGTCCCGGCTGTCCCCAGTGTGTCCCGGTGTGCCCCGGGGGTCCCCGTACCTCGGGCACGCGCACGGCCAGCGCCGCCGGGCCCTCCTCGAAGCGGAACCGCCGCGCGCGCCGCCGCGGCTCCTCCATGGGACCAATGGCGGGCGGCCACGTGTGGGCGCCGGGCCGCGCCAGCCAATCGGGGCCTCCTGCCGCAGTGGCGTCACGCGGAGCACCGCCGCGCGTGCCGATGGCGGCGCCTGTCCTGGCCGCCGTGGTGACACGGGGCCGCGCCCGCTCGCCCGCCCCGCCGGGGCGCTGCCGGCACCGCCGCGGGCCGGGAGAGCGGAGGACGCCGGGTGATGCGAGGCCGGCTCGCTGCTGTCAGCAGAGCAGCAAGCGCGGGGCCGCCGAGGGAAGGCGAGCGGCGGCGGCGGCTGCGGGGAGGATCCCTGGGGCTGCCAAGGGCGCCCGCGCTCCCTCCGCGCTGCCCTTCCTCAACATGGCGGCGCGGGGGCGCCTCTTCCCCGGTCCCAGCCAATCAGCGTCAGGGCGTGGCGGAAACCGCGGCCCAACCAGCCAATGGGAGCGCGGCGGGGGCGGGGCCGCGGCCACAGCGGCGGCACCGGCTGAAATTTCTGGAAGGTGCGGCCGGAGCGGGGCTGGGAACGGGGCTGGGATCGGGATCCGGATCCGGGGAAGGTGACGGCGGGCGGTGACGGCCCCCAGCGCCGCCGCCGTCATGAACCACAAGAGCAAGAAGCGGATCCGCGAGGCGAAGCGCAGCGCCCGCCCGGAGCTGAAGGACTCGCTGGACTGGACTCGCCACAACTACTGCGAGACCTTCCCCCTGAACCCCGCTGCTTGCAAGGTCTGAGGAGAGGGAGAGCGGGGGGAATGGGGGAGAATGGGGAATGGGGTAGGACTAGGGGGGTCCTGAGGGCACGAGTGAGGGGATTGGGGGAGTCCTGAGGGGGATAGGGAGGTCCTAAGGGAACGGGGAGGGGAAGGGACCCTCCTGAGGGGGACTGGGGTGGCCTGAGAGGATCGAGGGTCAGAGGGGAGATGAAAAGATTATGGATGCCGGAAGGGGGAGCCTAAAGGGAAGGGGCCCTTTCCCGAGGCCGGGGTTGCCCCAGAGCTGGCGGGGCTCTCCGCTGAGAGGGAGAGGTGCGGGCAGGGGGAGGACGAGCAGCACCCACGTTTTTTCCTCCCTCCACGTGGCGAGGGGTACGGGGTGGGACCGGCACCCGTGTAATTCCCGGGAGCCCTCCCCGTAGTCCCCAGGGGGTGGAATGCGGCAGGGGATGTGTCAGCCGAGAGGGCGGCGCGGCCTCGGTGGCGAGCAGAGCCAAAGGCTTCGGGCTGCCAGTGCGGGGAACGGGCCAGGAGGAGCAGGGCTGCAGCCTCGGGGAGCTTAAAATAACACGCCTTGGCGGTGTGTGAGGCTCCCCCACTGGGAAGCTCGGCCCTAGGACGTCAGCCTGTCCTCATATCTGTGCTGCTTCCCTCCCCGGTCTCCCAGGATAACGTGGAGAGGGCAGACGCGCTCCAGCTGACGGTGGAGGAGTTCGTCGAGCGCTATGAAAAGCCGTACAAGCCCGTGGTGTTGCTGAACGCCCAGGTGGGCTGGTCTGCCCAGGAGAAGTGGACGCTGGAGAGGCTGAAACGCAAGTACAGGAACCAGAAGTTCAAGTGTGGGGAGGACAATGACGGTTACTCTGTGAAGATGAAGATGAAGTACTACATAGAGTACATGGAAACCACACGGGATGACAGCCCCCTGTACATCTTTGACAGCAGTTATGGGGAGCACCCCAAGCGCAGGAAACTCCTGGAGGACTACAAAGTACCCAAATTCTTCACGGATGATCTCTTTCAGTACGCAGGAGAGAAACGGCGGCCACCTTACAGGTACGGTGCAGGGACAGCAAGACAAAAGGGGTATTTCTCATCTCCTTGGCTATTCCCAAATAGCTGTGATTGTTTCACATTTCAAAAAAAACCCAAAAAAAACCCCCGAAACAGCTTTATGATGTCTCTTAAAATGAGTGTACATCTGTAATCCAGAGGGAGAGATTTGTTTGTAACAAATTCTCCTTCTCCCACCAGAGCTGCTACAAGTTTATGGTGTTTTTTCCTTTTTTTTTTTTTCTCTTCCTGTTAAGTCAGTTTGCATCATTTTAAAATTTACATAGTTACTGACAGATATGAAGATTGTTTTCTTGCTCTGTGTGCCTTCTGGCTCTCAAATTTTAAGCACCTCTAGAGTGGCTCCTGGGTTTTGCACCAGTGGCTTATGTACAGTGTGGAATTTTGTTTAATTACGAGTCAGTCCTTTTAAGGTAAAGATCTTAAGCTAAATTAGGATCTACTATGGAAACTGGTTCTTAGCTCTCCTTCAGATGATTTTGAGAGAACAATATTTTACATTTACGTTATCTTTTCAACTCTTGTTTTTTCTTCAGATTGGAAAAGGATTGAAAGGACTCTTTGTTCATGAATTCAAATGCAACAACCTTGTATTATGGTTGTTAGATATAAAAGCCATTTCTCTCTATGTTAATGCAACAGTTCATAGCAGTATGAGCATGAGCTGAACCCTCCCAAGTAATTAAAGTCTTTACAGCGACAATATAATTGTCAGACAATGCCTTTTGCCCTCTGAGTGACACGAGGCTGTGATGTGGTTTATTTAAATAAAATAGAACAAGTCATGAATAAAGATACTTCCCTCTGCACTCCCTTACATGTCTGTAGTCCAGTTGTGCTTTTGCAGGAGTGAAGCAGGAACTTAATTCCATTTAAGATCACTGAAGTGGGTGTTTTTACAGTGTTGTAGCAGATGCTTTTTATAGTGCTCTTCTAAGAACACACAACTGTGATCGAACACAAAAGCACAGCAGGTGTAGTCTGTAGTAGAAGCTGGACACACAGAACTGGGAATAATTTATCCAAGTTACAGGTAAACAAGATAATCTGGTTGTGACTCACTTATATTGGTGTCTCTCTCCCCCACACTGTCCCCACCTACAAGCACAGGCTGAGCCTCTTTGTGATCTTGGTGTTCACATTTCTTGTACTTTGTTCAGGAAAATATGGGTTTGTTTCAGGCTGTTAATGGGTTTTTTTGAGAGATGAGTGGTGCACGAGAGCTCACTGATGCCTCCTGCAATTAGAGGGTTCATCTGGGTACAGAAAAGGATGAAGAGTGTCCAGGACTTTCAGAGCATAATTGAAAATTTGACAGGAAATGGTGCAAATCATAGGATGAGGATATGACCTGTATAAGTTGGCCTCTGGATCGAGAGGTGTGTGACAGTGTCTAGACCTTAAAGTAAGAGTTGGTGCTGTTCAGAGCATTTTTATTGGGGTTGTTCCTCTCTGAGGTAAAGACAGTAATTTTTGGAAGCCATTTGCTGAAGCAGCTCTTTTAGTTTGGGGAGGGGGCTTGGGGTTTGCTTTCCAATTGAATTTAGGAGTTGAGAAGATTTTAACGGCAAATTTGATGTCTTGTGGCAAATTGGGTTTTGTTCTTTGTAAGTTAATTGCCTGGAGGAAGATGCTGGTAAATGGCAGTGTTGCTAAGTAAGGGTTTTAAAACCTGCATGTATAAATTCAGGTTATTGTCAGAAAAATGGTATTGAACAGTGCATTTCTGACTGTGCCAGTCAGATCTCCACGAGTTTAATGTCTTCTGTCTTCTTAGTGAAAGCCTTGACTGTTCTGCTTGTGATTTAACCAGCTTTCCAAGGCTAATATGAATCTCAAGAGTGAACTGACAATAGAAATTATGAACACCTGCTCATTTACAGCTGCATTGTGAAGAAGAAGGAAGAAAGCAGCTTGATAGTCAAACTCACAGTCCTACAATTGGTGCTGGCAAATGATACTTGAAGACCAGCTTGATTTACACCTGCTGCGCTGGAAAGGGGAGATGGAGAACTTGCTGAATTCCAATATTTTTTGAACTCTGCACTCCTGTTACTGGGCATCACCTGCCTGTCAGCCACACCATGGAGGGCTCTTGTTGCTCCAATTTCTGTGCTCCCTGCTACCAATCAAGCATTTTTTCGTGCTGTTGCCTGGTATTAAGTCATCTCACGCGGCTTTTTCTGGAGTAGATCTTACTGCTCTGTTAAGAGGAAATGAGCAGTTGAAGGTGCTGCTGCAGTTGAACTCACAGAGTAGATAAAGTTCTCTGTTGGGAGAAATAAACCTTAAAAGTGGGGAATGGGAATATACACCTCAAAGCCTGAATGATCACTGGAGAACAAGCTCCATGTAGTTAAATGTTGGAATGAAAAGCCTGTTGTGAGCAGAAGGCGCAGAAAGAGGCCAGGGTTGCGTAACTTGCTCTGCTCCTTGTGTTGCCTTTTGTTTGTTCCTCATTGTTCTGCAGTTCTGGATCTGCTTGAGCAGCAAATTTTAGAAAACTGTGGGAGAATCCCCCTGCCTAGATCCTAACACAGGCTGTTGTGACCTAGCAGCATTCATAAACCTTGAAATCACTATATGTTTTACTGAAGAACTGCTTAAAACAAATACAGCTATAAAATATAAAAAGTTGTCTTCCCTTTCTTATCCTGCAGTCATTCAGGTTGGCTTTTAGGTTAAACTCCTGTGGTACGTTTTTGCTGTAGTGTGAATCTAACAAAATCAGCAATGTAAATGAAAGAATTGTAACTGTTTTTGATTTCTAACTGAATATTCTCTGTCTAATGTGAAGGAAGGGAGCTACTTGCTGGCTCTGTGACTAAAGGACTTTTTTTTTTTCATTCCCATGCAGATGGTTTGTGATGGGCCCACCTCGATCTGGAACAGGAATTCACATCGATCCCTTGGGAACGAGTGCATGGAATGCCTTAGTGCAGGGACATAAGCGTTGGTGCCTGTTCCCAACCAGCACTCCCAGAGAGCTGATCAAAGTGACTCGAGAAGAGGGAGGGAACCAGCAGGATGAGGCAATCACTTGGTTCAACGTCATCTATCCTCGGACACAGCTTCCCACCTGGCCCCCCGAATTCAAACCCCTGGAAGTCTTACAGAAACCAGGAGAGACAGTCTTTGTGCCAGGTATGTTCAAATCTCTCCAGCAGGGAAATCTGGGAGAGAAAAGCCATATTTTTAATATATTTATATGTTATAGAGGTGAAGAGAGTATTTCAGCTTCCTTACACACCCTATCTCTTACAAGTAAACTGTCTTGAGCTCTTTTAGAAGGGATACATAGTGCAATGATTGTTTTGAGACTATCCAGTTATTTTCTGGATATCCTAAAACATTTATGGCCTGTATTGTTGCCTTTTGTCATCTGTACCACATGATGACAAAACAAGTGGGGCTTGAGTGGCAGCATCACAAGAATGTGATCCTGGACTAAATTGCAGTAACAGGAAACTGTCTGGGCATAAAATAAAGGTATTTGAGTACGAGTAACTGTTAGACAAAAATGTTTGAATTCATACATGACTGAATTTTGTAGCCTGGTTAGTTTGACTGCATATGAGTTTTTCTTAGCTGTGGGAAATGAACTACTTAAAGGCACTGACACCTTCCACCCACCTCTCTGTGGTTATGTTTCATCTTCCATTTGAAATCAAAAGCTAAAGAAAGCTCTGCTAAAGATGCCCTTCTCTTTGAGTGGCTGCACACTGTGTGCCTCTTGTAACTGGGGAGTGAGGTGGTGGTGGATGAACTTGTGAGTTCAGTGCCAAATTCTGACCTCTGAGTCTTGCATCATTTTAGTGCAGCACAGCCCATAGCTCGTGTCCACACTGCTTGTCTCTAACATACAGCTGACTTCATGTGTGAAGAGTGCCTTGTGATTGTCTTGGCACTTATTAGTGACTCCTCAGTGTACCTTCTGTTAAGAGTTTGTAGCTGTCGGGTTCCATTAAACTGTTCACCTTAGTCTTTTATGAGGCTTGAAGTGGGTTGTAAGAACTTCACTGTCTATTTTTATCCTGTGTGGGGAAACGATTTTGCATCTATTTTTAAATGAAAGGTTAGTCTGTAGTCATAAGAACCTTACAAAATCAGCGTGGAAAGTGCTCTCCAGCTGGACAGAAAGGGCCTCTGTTGCTGTTAAATAAACCATCAGTAGCCAGTGTGTTGCTGTCAAGTCAGATCTTTTTGTGGGCTGGGTAATTTGGTCAGAGTGTGGAGCAGCCTTCTGTAACAAAACCTGTCAAGCACTGGAGTGAGAGCTGAAATTAGCCTGGGGAAAGATGATGTGGTGGCAAACTCTTCTGGGTGGGGGGAAATAATGTCCAGTTTCCACCTGCACTGTGGGAAAAGTGTTGTTGAACTTGCTGTCTGCCACGTAGCCAGCAGTGGTCATTGGTGTTGTGTTTCAGGTGGCTGGTGGCACGTCGTTCTAAACCTTGACACGACTATTGCCATCACACAAAACTTTGCCAGCTGTACCAACTTCCCCGTGGTGTGGCACAAGACAGTGAGAGGGAGACCCAAACTGTCACGGAAATGGTACAGGTGAGAGGTTTAGTAGCTTTCCTTTCATGTTCTTTGTTTAAAACAAAACCTAAAAATACCCATTTACACTCAGTGTTACAGTTTGAAGACTAACCATGAAATTTGAACTGTGTTTAGGATCCTGAAGCAGGAACATCCTGACTTGGCAGCCTTGGCTGATTCAGTTGACCTGCAGGAATCTACTGGTATTGCTTCTGACAGTTCAAGCGATTCTTCCAGTTCCTCAAGTTCCAGCTCCTCAGACTCTGATTCAGAGGTAATGCTTTTTACTGCAATAAGTGATCCATATTCTGAAGTTATATTGCTTTTTCCATAACTGATCATGTGTCCTAATCCTAATTTTCCTGTCTTGTGGAAGAAATTAATGGAAAGCAGCTAAGCAAATCCACATGGTGGAGGAGCCTGTGGTCTTAGCAGGTTCTGTTTGCTGAAGCCTCTCTGCATTGCTAAATGGATTTGGTTTGTTTGATCTGTGTCTATATTATATATGAATCTGTCACTCATTTAGCTAAGCCATGCTTTGTAAAAAACGGCTGCAAAGTGAATGTTCTAAAAATGGGGAGGAGGAACAAGATCCAAAAGAGATCAGTTATGACAGGGGACTCTTCTAGGCACGTAAATCCATCAGGAGTCACTGAGTCTGCTCTTGGAAGATGAGATCCTTCAAGGATCCAAAAGGAACACATTCACATTGTGTTGTCCAACCTCAAACAGCACGTTCTTTGAACCTGGGTTATTCGGGGTTGCCGAGGCAGCTCTGGGGGTGAATTCCACAGCACAAACAGCTCGGGAGGTTCCTCTGAATTCTGGTTTCATCTTTCCACTCTTCAGTGTGACTCTGGCTCCGAGACAGAGGGGATGATGCACCGGAGGAAAAAGCGGAGGACGTGCGGCATGATGGGGAACGGGGACACAACCTCCCAGGATGACTGCGTGAGCAAAGAGCGCAGCTCCTCCAGGTGACCCGATGGCATCTGTTGTTTTTAAACAAGCACAGGACAATACGAGGCAGAGCTGGCAGACTTCAGATAGGTGATTCCTCAAGACAGAGGGATGGGGAGCAAGGGATTCCTTACAGGACATAAAGCAGTTGGCCAGTGGTGATATATTCCCTCCATGAGTTATTTTAATTGCTTCAAATGGAAAACCTAATATTCTTAATATTTTTTAAAACTGGGGGTTTTATTTAATAAACAGTTTATTTCTTTTCCTAGTTGTCTGTTTTAATAGAGGGTAAGGATTTGATTTTATTTTTGCTTAATGGTCTGAGAGTTGGAACGTTTTAACTGTGTTCTTCAGAAATGAACAGTGAACAGTTCAAGATGAGGAATGGTCAGGCACGACTCAGGTTTCCATGCCTTGTTCAAACAGAAAACCTTCAAGTAGTTGTATGGTTTTTCTTATTGTTGCTTTGATTATTTCAATTTGATCCACTGTTTTATCTGTTAAAGGCAAAACTCATCCAAAATTCCAAATGTCTGTGTTTATATTTCAAATAAATAAATAAATAACAAGCAAATTTCAGTCAGTCTGCAAGGAGGGATCATTAATATTGCAGAACCAAGAATAGATATGCTTAAGGGTAAAGTTGCTGAGGAAAGCATTCTCTGGACTTGCCAGGTTAAGAAACAGTGGGACACTGGGAATCTGGGGCTATGCTTCAGGGAGGAACTTAGACATTCTCTGCTGAATGAAGCATTTTTCTCGTGTAGCCAAGGCTTGCCAAAATTCTTAATCAAATTCCTTGCGGCTTGGTTGCTGGACTGGCTGCCTGCCTGCAGTGGGGTGTTGGCTAATTCCTGAGCTGTTGGATGCTGCAGGTTTGGCATGGATGCAAGTGCTGTGGTGGCTTACTGTGTGGCCTGCTAAAGGTGGTGTGCAGCAGTAATTTAGCTGCGGAATTCCATATTCCCAGCATTATGCCCAAATTCCCAGTGTAGGGCACTGCCTGAAGTGCTGTGTGCTCCTGTACTGCTCTCTGGTTCTCAGGAGTTGCTCATAACTGAATACAATTGATTTACAAGTACAGAGCATCATTAAACGTTGGGGAGAACTGTACTGACTGCTTTTTTTGCCCTGGAGATTTTCACAATTTGTTTGTTACGACATTGTCAAATCCCGTTTCAGCAGCCAGTGTGACTCCAGGCAGGGAACAAGCAGCAGGAGAGAACAAACCCTACTGCAGACCCGGGGTTAGAAAAAAACCTGTAAAAATGCAGATCTGTTCTTCTGAAAACCCTGTGCATTTTTAAATTGTTTGCAGTTCAAATTTTAAACTGAATACCTTAAATATTAAAAATTAGCACCTTGTCTAGAACATTTGCATTCTGGGTTTTCACTGTTCTTCCTCCTGTGTGTTGATTGTGAGGGTGGGTGGGCGTTCTGTTCCAGCTGTGTGATGGATTAGTTGATAGAAACGCTTCCAAACGTGAAACCTTACCCTGCTTGTACAATTCTGGAGGAAGAAATAAGCCTGAAATTAATCTGCATGCTGCGATCTCGTGCCCTGACATGAGGGGAATGCTCAAAGGCAGTTGTACCTTTTTTTGACAGGATTAGGGAATCTTGTGGAGGCCGCAGCTACCCCTGAGAGATAACACCACCCGATCGAAGCTCCGTTAGCAGCCAGCCAGCTCTGTTCTACCCCTTCCTGCTTCTGTTTCTCACAGTCCTTACGGTTTTTTTTTTGTCACTCTTCCTCGATCCGGACATCTGTCTTCGTTATGTGCTGTCCAAGGTTGGCTCCTGAGTAGCTTGTAGGGGAATGCCCCACCACGTCCTTGTGCAATGCTTTGTCCCCCCTGCCCCGGGTGAGTGCACTATAACCCAGCTGTGGGTGAGGACACGCCGAGTATTTAATGGGTCACGTAACTGGCAAGGAAGACAACGGTCAGTTTTTAAAGAACTCTTTTTAAAACCAGCAGGTAAATAAAAGCCTGCCTTGCTTTGACACTGTCATATGTTTACATGTTTTCCTGTACACTTGAGGAAAGGAACACCAGCCCTGTTGGCCTAATGGGACTATCCGGCGGATCTGGCACCGGAATTCTGGGAAGAAGGAGAAAGGAATTAGCTTCTGCAAGAACTGAGCTGTGGAAAATGGGTCTTTGGATCTTATCCTGCTGCAGGAGAATGTGGCTGTTGGGGCTGGTGCTTCCAACTGCGGGTCACATAAAACCACAGAATACGCTGAGTTGGAAGGGACCCATCAGGATCATCGAGTCCAACTCCTGGCCTGGTGCAGGACACCCCAAGAGTCACACCGTGTGCCTGAGAGCGTTGTCCAAATGTTTCTTGAACACAGACAGGCTTGGTGCTGTGACCATTTCCCTAGGGAGCCTGTTCCAGTGCTCAACCACCCTCTGGGTGAAAAACCTGGCTGTGATATCCAACCTAAGCCTCCCCTGACTCAGCTCCAGCCGTTTCCTCGAATCCTGTCACTGGTCACAAGAGTGAAGAGATCGGTGCCTGCCCCTCTGCTGCCCCTTGGGAGGATGTTGAAGACCCCAGTGAGGTCTCCCCTCAGTCTTCTCCAGGCTGAACAAACCAAGTGACGTCAGCTGCTCCTCAAAAGGCTTCTCCTCCAGTCCCTTCACCATCCTCATGGCCCTCCTTTGGATGCTCTCTAACAGCTTAATGCCTTTTTTATATTGTGTCCCCCCAAACGGCCCCAGTCTTGCAGGTGAGGCCGCCCCAGGGCAGAGCAGAGTGGGACAATCCCCTCCCTGATGCCCCCAGGGCAGGGTTGGCCCTCCTGGCTGCCAGGGCCCTGCTGACTCATGGCCAACTGGCACCCACCAGGACTCCCAGGGCCCTCTCCCTGCACTGCTTTCCAGCCTCTCATTCCCCAGTCTATACACACAGTCAGGGTTGCCCCATCCCAGGTGCAGAATCTGACACTCCCCCTTGTTGGATTCCACACGGTTGGTGATTGCCCAGCCCTCCAATTTGTCAACGTCTGGTGTCATCAGCAAACTTGCTCAGTGTTCCTTTGAGCCCTGTGTCCAGGTCATCAATGAAGATGCTGAAGAACACTGGGCTGAGAATGGACCCCTGTGGAACCCCAGTAGTGACTGATGCCAGCCTGATGTCACCCTCTGTGCCCAAGCAGTGAGCCAATTGCTCCCCCATCCTGTCACACTGTTATCCAGCTGCGGGATGGACAGTTTGTCCAGCAGGATCCTCGGAGAGACGGTATCAAAAGCTTTGCTGAAGTCCAAAAAGATTCCATCTACTGGCTTCCCTTGATCAACCAGGTGGGTTACCCTGTCGTGCAAGGAAATCAGGGTCAACAAACAGGACTTTCCTCTCCTGAAGCCCTGCTGGCTGTGGCCAATGACTGCATTGTGTTTCAGGTGTTTTTCAGTAGTTCCCAGAATAATCTACTCTATAACTTTACCAGGCACTGAAGTGAGACTGACAGACCTGTAGTTTCTGGGGTCCATCTTATTGCCCTTTGAGAAAATTGGGACAACATTCACCAGCTTCCAGTCAGCTGGGACCTCTCCAGATTCCAAAGGCTGCTCAAAAATTGAGAAAGGTTTTGTGATGACGTCAGCAGCTCCTTGAGGATTCTGGGATGAATCCCATCAGGCCCCACAGATCTGTAGGGATCCAGATGGAACAACAGATCCCACACAGATCCCACACAATTTCAGGGTCAGCTGGGAGTTGATCATTCTCACATGGTCCTCCAGCTCAGGGCATTGAGACCCCCTCGGTCCATCATCCATGTTGAAGACAGAGGCAAAGAAAGTGTTAAAACACCTCTGCCTTGTCATGTCCCTTTTGGGGAGGGGCCCACCCCCATCCTGGAATGGGCTGCTGTTGTTTCTACTCTGCCTTTTGCTGTTAATATATTTGAAAAAACTTTTTATTGTCCCCCACATTTCTGGCAGCTTCAAACCCAGTTGAGCTTTGGCCACACGAATTTTCTCCCTGCAGTGACAAGCAGCATCTCTGTGTTCTTCCCATGTCACCTGACCTTGCTTCCACTGGGCACACACCTTCCTTTTCCATGTTACTTCCAAGAGAAGATCCCTGTTCAGCCAAGGATGGGAAGGTGGTGTGAATGCTCCAAGCCCTGAAGCACCTTCAGCAGAGGTGACCACCAACTTGAAGCATCTTTTGGGGTCTTCATCTACGTGCTCCATGCATGCACCTGAGGTGCAACACCTCAACCAGCACCAGTCCATTTACTTTTGCTCCGTGTCTGTTGTTACGACAGGTAACAAAGCTGCACTAGCACCTTGTGACAGGAAACTCCAGGGAGCAGGAGAATCCTGGAGTTTCTTGCACAACAAAAACTGGGGGGGAAAAGTCAGCTAGTTTGCTAGTAATTACCATCCTTCAGGTGCAGGTGTAATATTTAGCACAAGGCAACTGCTGCCAAAATCTGGCTCTTACTGATCACAGCAGTTGCTGGGCTTTAAATACCAAGCAGTTGTGGGGCCGTGGGCAGTTCACATCCCTGAACCGCTTTTCTTTGGGGTTGTGGGCTCAGACCTTTCTGAAACTTGCAGTGCCAATTCTAAAGGACAGGGAGGGGGATGTATTGCTGTTTTGTGCTTTTTGAAAATGCAGTGTGTTGCTTCAGTCTGTGTAGGTGCATTTGTATTATGCCTGGTAAAGCTCCTGTCCCCACGGGATCTGCTGGAGCTGGTGGTTTGGTTTTTTAGCAGATGTGCTGCAAGGAAATCTGAACAGCACAGGCAGAAGCTGTCTGAGTTGGGTGCTCTTCCAGGGGTGCTCTCCTGAGCCCTAGGAGGTGGTTATAGGGTCTCACTTTACTGGGAGAGGAAACTTGACAGCAGAAGTGCTGTGTGTGTTGTAGACGTGTAATAATGCCCAGGCACTGATTAAAGAGCAGATTGACAGCCTCAGCTGTGACTTTCTTACACATGTTGGGTCTGATGGAACTTGGAGCAATGCTTGTCTGGGTTTTCTGATCTTTCTTTAACCTTGTCTTTTCCTGTTTAAACACTCCCTCCTTCTTGGAGACCAGGCTGTATCCCGTTGTACAAGGGAATCCTAAATATGTTTGTCAGGATCTCTGGTTCTGACTCTCCTGTGCCAGTCAGTAGGACCAACATGGTGAGAAGGAGGTTTTTTTGGTACACTTGAGCTGTCCAGATTCCCAAATTTTTTGTGATGACCAGGGATAAGCAAGCACTGCTCTGTATACTGGGCGCATAGTTCCACAGAATTGCTTCATTTAAAACAAACTCCAAATAAACAACTTCTCAAACTCCTCTGGAAGCACCGTGGGAAGATGGGAGTGCAGAGCATTCTTCCATACCTGTCAGCTCTTCCATGGTGTGAAATAACACAATTTCAGATGAAGCCTGTGTTGGTCTGACACCCCTCACAGAAAAGCAGCGTTTGCAATGGACTGCAAGGCATTGTGATACCAGCACCACTCTCCAGAGTGCTCCACGGGACACTTCCTACTGTGAAACAGTATTTGTTCAGGCTACCTGGGAATCAGCGCTCTGAGATCTCCGGTTCTTCCACTTAACGGCTTTTGCCTCAGCCAGGAGGGTGAGATTCTGTCTTTGTTTGAGCAGTGAGGAAAATCCCTACCTCACAGGGGTGTTGTGAGGCTGAACTGTAACTTCTGTGTGAGATGCTTTGAAGTCATCTGCCCACAAAAAGTGTTCCATTCATCCCGAGCAACCTGAGACTTCCGAGCCTCGTGGTAGCTCTTTGTAGCAGAAAACACTGGGGATGTTGTTCAGCTCTCTTGGCCACGTGGTGTTCTGTGGTGGCCCTTCCAGAATTGCTGGGTGGTACATAAACTGTAGCAGAACAAGGCTTTTTGTTTTCACCGGGGTTGAACTATTGCTGTTTCATGGCCTGCTCTAAACAGCAGGTCCTGCTAGAGCAGGATTTGGTTTTAAATAGGACTAGACTAAATTCTCTCTCATCAGGGAGTCAGCCTCGCTGGCCTTACAGGAAGGGGGTGAGCTGGTGCCTCCCAGGCCCTCATTCCAGGCTGGATAAGTGAGGAACAAAGTTAAAAACTGTGCTCCCTTTGTGCCTAGCTCCGTGCTTGTGGGAGGCTGACTGGGGACAGTGGGGTTTGTGCTCTCACTTCTCCAGGCTTGTGCTTCTTGGGGCATCCATGTCTGTTGTTCCAACCCCTCTGCTTTTGTGTCCTGTAGAGCCCCTGGATGCAGCTGGTCCAGCACCCAGACTGTGTGGGCCCCTCATTTCCCTGAGCCCCAAAGCAGCTCTGCCTCAACCCCCTGGGGCTCTGGGGGCTGCCCTGTCCCCTGGGGAAGGGCTGGGAGCCTTGTGCTAGGTTTGGACTGTGACCTTCATCCTGCCTGCTCTGGGAAAGGTGGAGGGATTTGGGAGCTCTGACCGTGCTTTTGGGTCTGGTGACCAACACAGGCTGTGCCAGTTCAGGGGGAAACACCCACACACTCCGTCAGACCCGCAGATGTGAACGGGAGGCCCCAGTCCCGGCAGCTGTTCCTGCACAAGCGCTGTGGGAGCAGGTGATGCTGAGGAGGTGCTGGCAGACCTTCCTCCCCTTCCCAGCTCACGTGCACTGGCTCCACTTTGTCTTCTCAGTTACATTAAACCTCTCCGAGTGTTTAGAAGACAGACAGCAACCTCTTTCATAATTAACCCCGACCCTTCTCTTCCCTGAATCCCCAGCCATCGTGGGGTGGGAAGCAAGACTGTTGGCTGAGTCCAGTCTGAAATGCCTGTGTGGGCTCATTGTACCGGGAGGCTTTTGGCATCCCCCTTGCAA